CAATAAGGCATAGCAAGTATTTATAGCATACAAAACTTTTAATGCAAAAATCATTAGGGTAGAGGCAAGCTTTCTGGTCATTTATTATAACATTGCTGGAAAATTTCCAAATTCCTATAGTATATAACCAAACATTTTATGTGTATATATTCTTGGCTAATTTAATATCAGACTTTGGTTGGGAAGCAAATATCTGTCTATCAGTGTCAACACAAAACCTAGTCTATTATCTTTCCTTCTTCTTTAAAACGTTTTTGTTTGTTTGTTTGTATTTTTGCTGTAGGGCATAAATGTTTACTAGAGACAGACAGAGAAAGTGAGAAAGCACCCTCCAGGGGGAATGACTATGCTGCAATCCCTTCTCCATTCTCCTCTTGGGATTTGGGGCAACACAAATATGTGCCCAGCATGTTTTACAAGCTGCTGGCCTGGGACTTGAACTGCACAGTTGGCCACATGGGATCCAGTCATCTCATCCACCACACCACCTGCTGGCCCATTCCAGCATTTTTTTTTTAATTTGCTATATAATTTTTTTTAATGTGCACTGGCTAGAGAGTGAGAGAGAGAGAGAGAGAGAAAGAGAGAGAGAGAGAATGAAAATAAGAAATCACCCCCCCAGGAGAAATGACCACACCACAATCCCTTCTCCATTCTCTTCTCAGGATTTTGGACACATTTGCGCACATGCCCAGAGTATTTCTCAAGCTGCCGGTCCAGGAATCATTTTATGCAGTTGGCCATGTAAGATCCAGCCACCTTAACCACCATGCCACCTGGCTGAGCCAGCATATTATTATCTTAATGATCAATATCTGTAAAATATTTTTCACTTCTCTTGTGCTCCATATTCCATTTTTATTCAGTAAGAGAGAGGAATTTACATGGTCTCTAACTATTTCACCTCTCAGGCTATCCCTATTAATTGGACAACAGATTATTTACTAAAATAGACAGGATGCCCGAAAACTCTGTTCTCAGCTCAGAAATACCCGGGCTGCACCTTGAAAAATCACTATGGTCCTCGATTATGATAATCATATGTAACCATTTTTTAGTTTCCTGATTGAGTTTCAACTGGTCAGCAATTTAAAGCTTTGGTCCTGGGCAACTAGCCTGAGTGAACCACTCCAAATGGATATGATGACAATTCTGAAACTTGGCACCATCCACTAGGGATATAGTCTCAATACCCTAGTGTAAGTCCCAGCTTCCGGCCAGGACAGTAGCAGTCATGGCCCATTTCTAGTCTCTCTTGAAAAATTAGTGACATTTCTGTTTGAGCAGACATCTCTGGTTGTGGACCAGAGAGAAGGGTCACAATGTCACAAGAACGATGATGTTGGGAACTCTTCTTGTTGATTTTATGTCTGTAGTGACTGTCTCATTAGCCTCCACTAGTATTAAAAATAAATTTAGAACATTTAAAAGAAAATCCAGAACTTGCTGCTTTTATCAATTGTTTATAAGTATTTCCTATGCTATAAGAGGTTCCCTTCCTAATTAGATTCTATTCCCTTTTAATAACTTACTCTCTTACTCCCTTCTACTATTGCATTTTATTGGTTTTCCATGTGAAATAGAGTAGTACTGTTGAGAGGAAATTCACTGTAAAGTTTGATTAGAGTTTTTTTGCAGACTTCTATTCTTACGTTAGGTAAGCATCACTTCACACTCTTGTATTACTCCTTAATCAACTTTATTAGGTGATTTTTATCGTCTGAGAGGCCTTTACCTAAAAAGAAAAAAAAGTTCAACATTTGCTGCAAACAACAGGGTCAAAACCTTCCCACCCACCATCTGTTTGTGTAGATAAAGTTTTATTGGGACACAGCTATGCTCAATTGTTTACATAGGGTCTGTGACTGTTTTCATGCTATGTGGCAGGGTTGCATAGATACAACAGAGATCATGACCAACAAAACTGAACATTGTAATCATCTGATCCATTACTGGACTGTTTACCAATTTTTTTCCATCTTGGACTATCTTTACAGAATGCAAACATATATTTCAGCTATTTATTGAGGATATTTAACATAGAGAAAAGTCATCAAAATTATTTTCTCTGATTTTGAATTAGAAGTGAAAAGAAATATGTGACATTTCATGCATATAGAGCTATGTGAAAGAGCTTATCAAGAAAAGCAATCTAGGGAACCAGCAGTTAGCGTAATGGCTATGTCGCTGGACTCCCACGTAGTCAACCACGGTTTGCGTCCCGAACCCGGGGGCTTAAAACTCACGCCGGGCGCGTGTGCGTGTGTGCCCAAGATCCCAAGAGGAGAATGGAGGAGAAGGGATTGCAGCGTGACCATCCCCCCTGGGGGGTGATTTCTCGCTTTCTGTCTTTCTGTCTCTCTCTGTCTGTCTGGCGAGTGCACGCGCCCTATAGCGAAAACCTCTCCAAAAAAAAAAAAAAAAAGAAAGAAAGAAAAGCAATCTATTATACTTTTAAGATTTTCTTAAAAAGTGGATCTTTGGCTATATCTTAATTTAAACAAAGCCAATTTTTTTAATTCTTATTTTTATAAAATAATTTAGGGGAAGTTGCTAAAAGTAATCATTTTGTAAAAGCGTAGTTCAACTTTAGAAAGCACATACTTGCATCGGCTCTCAGAATCAAACTCTCCAGGAGTTTGATGGATAGTTAGATGGATTTTATTCTTTTCTCTGTGCCCAAAACACTTTGATGTCATTTAGCTTTGATTTTTTTTATTCAGAAATTTCAACTTACACACAAGTTTTCAGAAGGCTTTCCATATGTTACACTGCAATATAGTTGTGCTATGTATAAACTTTTCCAAAGAAATTTAGAGACTTCCAAATAAAAGGCTTATTCTTTTGCCTTTTTAATTCAAAGAATACTTCCAAATGTAAGGCTTATTCTTTTGCCTTTTTAATTCAAAGCTCCATGCTGTTATGGAATAAAAAAGCCATAGTATGGCTATCCTTTTAACTTCTAGTTGAAAGTCAGATATACTTTTGTTTGAAGTTGTATGGCTTTGTTACAAATATATGGCATCAAAAATACTCTTCACTTTCTTGTGATTCATCTTTATTTTTTAAGAAGTGTGGTTTTGTTCTATTTTTCCCTTGTTTGTTTGTTTCCTGATTGCAGGGCAAGTTGTTGTAGTTGGGTACCAATGAAGCATCCAAAATTTCTGAGAAAGAGAGGGTGTGGAAGAGGATGCTTTATACACGATTACAGATGTATAAATGAAAGAAGAAAATCTTAGGGTATCATAGGTTCCCCCACTCATCCTTCATCTTGTAGTGCTTTGGAAGCTTCCTATAGGGGTCATTTTAGGGGGAAGCATCAAAATACCATTTCAGGACTTTGGATAGAAAGCACCGCAATTTAACAATATATTAAAATCTATTTTCATTTCCTGTACATACATTAAACAGAGCCAGAAGAGGCAGCCAGGGACTTCCAAACCTCCTCCACTGCTGAGTGCTGCTATCCACAGTATCGTTTTATGTGAGGCTTCCTAACCTGAGTAGTACCTTCATAGATTCACTTGGCTACATCTGAGAGAAGATTCTATCCTTAGGAATGGAAAATGGACCAATTTTCCATTTGGAAAATTTCCATATTTCTGCCTCTTTGTTTTATAGGAAATGACAAGTGACTTTTCAGTGAGCTTTACATTTCACTAAGGGCGAGAGAGTCTTTGAAAGTGTTGGTGTGCAGAGCTCTGTGTGTAGTAAGTGGTCAATATATGCTTACCGTTTCTATGTATGCATGAAGGGAGCCATTTAGAGTCCATTCTGGTTCCCTGGGAATATTTAATTTTAGAAACCATCCCTGTGATGGTAAATATAACAGTGAGACTTCAAGGAGATAAAGAAGTGGGGGGGGGGGACAAATGCTCTTGATACTAGTTTGCTGGTGAATTGTTTTAGTGGAGGTGGAAGGGGAAGACAAGAAAGGCAAAAGAAGGGAACTATTCACACAACAACCTAAGTGAATATAAGAGACTTTAAAGCCAGACACAAGAGTTCATTCCATTTTTGTGAAGTTTTAAGAAGAAGCAAAACAAAATTCATCCATGTAGATAGATGAATTTATCATCCTTGATAGATGTCTTCTGTACCCTGTGTGGGAGGATGGTGACTGAATGATTAGGGCCACAAGGGAAGCTTCTGGCTGATAGAAATTAAGATACATATCTTAATCTGAATAGTGGTTACATTACTGTCTAAATAGATATAAAAATTTATCAACTTCTCTACTTTCTGTACTTAAGATGTGTAAACTTTATAGCACAATAAAAATTTAAATCATGATAGTCTTAGAAATAGGTCATGAAGGGGACCCTTGACTTAACATGAATGCCAAATAGAGTTCACAGAAGAAAAGCATAGCAAACTCCTGACCTAAAAATTCTGCTGAGCTTTTAGGAACTTTTCTGAATAATTACTTCATTTTATTTTATTGCCAGAGAGCCTATGCACTTGCCAGAAAGAGAGAGAGAGAGAACAAACCCCCAATGGATATACTCACACCACTATCCCTTTTCTTTCATTTCTCCTTCCCATTAGGATTTTGGACACACACTTGCATGTGTCTGGTATGTTTTTCAAGCTGCCAGGGTTGGGACTCAACCACATTTTGCCATGTGGGATCCAGTTCCCAATGCACAGCAATTAACTCCTGTGCTACAGGGCCAACCCTGGATATGGACATTTACATTCATTTTTGTTGCAAAACATTTTGAACCTCCAAAGGGTGCTTAGCATACAGTCATATCACATCCATTGAGCTGCTGCAAAGTGAAAGCTGCTAAAGCAGATGAGGGGACTTCATAAAGTTTGTGGAGAAACAAAATAAGGTGTGAGTTTACTTTGGTGCAAAAAAAAAATTGAAACCTGTGCTTAGTATTTTCATAATAATGCATTTTCCGGGACCTTTTAGAAGACTGCTCTTTGTTCTGTGGACTCTTTGAGGACTTACTGCTTACAAGCAATGCCTTTTTGTGTTTGTTTGTTTCTAGATTGGCAGATTGCTACTTTGGCTTTACTCTTGGGCGGTGCGGCCATCATTCTCATTGCGTTCCTGGTGGGTCTGATTTCTATCTGCGTGGGATCTCGGAGGCGCTTCTACAGACCTGTTGCCGTCATGCTTTTTGCAGCAGGTAAACATATTCATTACTTTCAAACCGATATTAAAGTTTCATGACCCTTTCTACCATCCTCCCTTCTCATGCAGAAGCAGTATGTGTTCGCTGCATTACGTAAAGATTGAGCGATGTTTGTTATATTTTAAGGTAAATTGGCTCAAGGTTTATCATATTACCAGTGAAAACTGTGTTAAGCATTTCACAAAACGTTATGGCAACTTCTAAACTTCTAACCAACACATGAATAAATAATACTCCTTTACAAGGCCATTGCCTTAGGAACTGTAACAGATGTATTTACCAACAGTCTTTTCACATCCAGTTGTTTTCCTCCTTTTATGATCCCTTTGGTGAGCTTAAGGCACCATTATTTTTTTCTGACGTGAAATTGAAAAAATAAATTCCAAAACATATACCCTTAAAGGCATAGCTTTCTTTGGAAATAAACATGGTTATACAGAAAAATCACAACATCCAACCTGAGCCATCAGACCAGTCAATTATATGAGGTCAATCATGTATTCATTAATTTAACAGTCATCATTCTATGAAGCACAGCTTCGATTAAGATACCGATCAGGGTAAACTAAGAGAGCTATTTAGAAAAAGTGCTTGCAGGCTTAAAGCCCAGGACATTATTTGATGTGAGTTTTAATTTTCTTTTATAAGAATATCCTTGAATATATTGTTCTTTTTGACTCAAACTGAAATATTCTTGTGGTACCTCCAATTTACCCTGTCAGTCACATCAGATTTGAAGACTGCAAAATAAGCCCCTGTAACTGTCAATAATGAAGACACTGACGGAACCATCTAGGCTGTTAGATGGAATTTTAAAAGCTGTTTAAAGATTGGAATAGATGAAATTTCTCAGAATTTAAAGGGTAGCTTGAGCTAAAATATAAAATAAAATCAGAAGCATTCTACTGCCCCCTGCTGTTTCTAAAACAGTTCATCTCCTTAACACCACTGAAGCCTGATCAGGATGTAGGTGTCATAAAAATGAAGATCTGAAAGGCTGAAGAAATCCAGAAGCACATATAACTCATTTTTTTTAATGTGACTTGCTCAAGATCATGTAATAATTATGGGCCAACGTGAGGTTGGGAAGCTACCAGATCTTAAACTAGTGGTTCATTCACTGCTGATTTCTGGACTCATTCATGCAACTCTTTCTTGCATGCCTATCAGACTAAACATTATAGTAAGATACCTGTAAAACTCACCTATGTTTCACCACAGATACTTTATTAATACACTGGAAAGCATGATTACAAAAAACTGTTTAGCAGTCTTAGGTAATAACCATAGTATCATTATTTTAATGTACTCCTGCATAATGAACGTCTCTGTTGTAAAGAATTTAGTGCCCTTGAAGAGTCCCCTAAAAAGCCCATCCCTACTTTCTAGTTTATTTCTTGGGTCATGGAGATACCATGATTCTTTTACTGTTTTTCAGAATGAAATAACTTAGACATTTTAATTGTAGTGTAAATTTGTCTTTGCAACTAGGACATATTAACATAATGATTAGATTATCAGTTGTAATAGAATTTTTGATAAATTGTTCTGAAATTATACACCATTATTTAAAACTGGAATTCTGGCTTTTAGACTACACAGACATTCCTCATTTTAGGATGATATGGGCGATGTTTTAGTCTAGTCTTCTTTTTTTTAAAACTTTATTATTTATTCAATTTATTTATTTTTTGGAGAGGATTTTGTTATAGGGCACGTGCGCTCGCCAGAAAGACAGAGACAGACAGAGAGCCAAAAAGCAAGAAATCAACCCCCCAAGGAATATGGTCACTCTGCAATCCCTTCTCCTCCATTCTCCTCTTGGGATCTTGGGCACGCATGCACACATGCCCAGTGTGAGTTTAAGCCACCGGGTCTGGGACTTGAACCATGGTCAACTACATGGGAGTCCAGCAACATAGCCATTACACCAACTGGTCCCAATTCCATTTATTCTTTATCTTACTATGCAATGGCATATGCAGAATCTTAAAGAAATCCATTGTAATGGAATATATATCTATTATAAACTTGTCTAGAACAGTAATAGAAAGTTTCTGCTTTTTTTCCCTAAAAAACAAAAGCTGTATTTTTTCCAAATACAGTAAAATTTGTGAAAATAAGTACTGGTTGGTACAGAAAATGAATTGTAAACGAACCTACGTTAAAGGTAATGGGTTTTGCCAAGAATACAGATTTTGATTTAGCTCCAGCTACCACAAATATTAGTAAATTATGAAATAATGAAAGGAATTCCAGCAGCAAAATTCATACGGTGCTATTCTACCTGCTGAGTTCTAAAATGAACCTTATACTGCAACATTTTTTAAATGTACATGTGCTGAGATTTAATTTTACTCATTCTCTTTTAACCCTGTGATTACGGAAGCTTGTTTTGAAATAACCATTAGTTCAGCATTCGCTTTGAATATAAGCAAGGTAAAACTTACTGGTTATTTGTAACATGTCATGAAAACGTTTCTCTCTCTCCATTGTAAAAGCCATTAGAGAGTTGCCATTATTGATTTGGGTGTAAGATTTGCAAGGTTAGAAAATCTGCCTACTTGAAATAATGCTAGCTAAAGTTATGCTTGTATATTTTGCTTACTTCTTAGTAATGATATTTATTCCAGGGGTTGGCTTGTCTCACTTGGAATGCAGTTTAGTGGTTCTTTGTAAATGTGTACTTGGGATCCTTTTTCCCTTTTACTTGTCTTGGTCTGCATTTCTCATCTCTTCTGAAAATGTGTTCCTCTCCAAATAATGTCAAGTCTTGTGATAACAAGCAATATTTTGTTCACACACATGGAGAATGACACCTATCTCAACAAAGAGAGTCTTTCATTTCTTCTGCTAAAATGTGCAGTGCATAAAATCAAAACAGACATGTCTCTACTACTTGGAAACATCTCTATCCAGGATGGCATACCTTTCTGAATTCAGTGCTGTGTGCTGCTATGCCTGGTACTCATAGGCACTCAATAAATAGTTTTTGAATGAACGATGGAAAGAAGACTAAGGCATGTCACTAATAATCTGGTGAAGGAAAACAAGCATGTAAATAGTTAACTAACTCTCATTCAGTTTTATTTTGTTTTATTAGATTTTTGCCATGGGGCACGTGTACTTTCCTGGGGGGGGGGAGAGGAAAAGTGAGAAATTATCCCCCAGAAGAGTTGACCATGCAGGAATCCCGTCTCCATTCTTCTCCTAGCATTTATTTTAGGCACACATGCGTACACACCTGGCATGATTTTCAAGCTGCCACGTCTGGGACTCAGACCCTTGTCAGCCATGTGAGTCCAGCACTTTAACCACCAGACCACCAGCTGACTCCTGTCATTCAGTTTTTTTAAAAGCCATTTCTCTCTTAGGGACATATGAAACAGCAAGTTTCACATGACCACAAAGTGAGGACCAAAGCGACTCAAGAAAGTATTAACTATCAAAATGATTTTTTTCATTTATTTATATTTTCGTTCATTTATTTCACAAATATATCAGGCAGTTACAGCATACAAAGTGTATATCTTGATCTAAGATAATACACTCTAAGGATTTTTACTGAAAACTGATGATTGAGTCTCATAAAGACGGTCAAACAGATTTTTAAGATTTTATCTTCTCAGAACCAGTAGATAGCATAGCAGTTATGTTGCTTGACTCCCACATGGCTGACTATGGTTCAAGTCCTAGACCCAGTGGCTTCAAACTCATGCTGAACAGGTGTGTGCGTGTGTGTGTGTGTGTGTGTGTGTGTGTGTGTGTGTGTCCAAGATCCCAGGAAGAGAATAGAGGAAAAGGGATTGTGGCATGTCCATCCCCGCTGAGGGGGTGATTTCTCGCTTTCTGTCTCTTTGTCCCTCCGGCAAGTGCATACGACCTATAGAGAAAAAAAATCTCTCCAAAGAAAAAGATTTGATCTTCTATTTTTCTAATGTCCTTCATTTAGTGAGGGCTTATTACCTGCTGGAATAGTTGCTAGAAGAACTAAGAACTACCCATCACTGCAGCCCGGCTAACACATTGCCTCATTTTCCATGCCTCTCCTACCCATTGGTCTTAGATGTCTCAACTTCAGAAATATCTGACTCTATAAATGAAGATTTATAGTAGTAATGCTGATAATAATAATTAACTGGGTACCTACCATGTGCCACACTGATAGACATTTAACACATGCAGTCTGTGATGTAACAATCTTAAAATAATTTCTTTTTCAAATATTATCACTGAGAAAACAGATTCAAAAAAGTTAAGTAGTTTCCTCCGGTTCTCCAACTAGTAAGTTGCAGAGTCAGGGTTTAAATTCAGGGCATCAGTCTGACTTGAAGCCCGGAGATGGACTCGTGAGTCATCTTTACTTGGGTCCATGTCACACACAGAGAAAACAGAGTAAAATCCACCATGATTTTGAATTCAGTTGCCAACTACGTATTGCAGCTGGAGTCCACTCTGTAACTTTAGTTCTCCCATCTCTCGGGAACACCCACCTGAAGGAAATCAGCAACTTGAGATGTCATAAAGGCCTCAGTGCAGCCTGGCTGAACCACTGCACATAATAAAAGCTGTACACGATTCCAGCACAGTCGACAATGGCGTAGTTCTTTCTCTGTAACTGATGAGGATAGATAATACAGGATGTGATTCTGCTAACTGATAATGTGATTCTCTTCACTAAGGACTTGATGAATGTAGAGGCATCACTTCTTTCTAAGTTTATTTTTTTTATTGTCTGGATTTGAACTTTCTGCAGATCATTTTTATGCCCCCCAGGGCCTTAGGATGATTGTTTTACCTTTCCCCCCAAGGCCTGTAATACAAATTGCAGAAAATTCTCAGCCTCTTATAATTCAGATTTTCAAAAAAAGAATCCTTGTTTATTGTATTGTTAAAGATGTTTCCTTTCTGTTATATCCATAAAAGGCCTCCTGGAAATGACTGTTTCTGCAGAACAGTGATTTTTTTTGTTTGTTTTCAGAGTCCTGCAACTG